ACTCTTTCAAAAGAAAACTTTGGATGTTAATGAGGAGAGTGAAAAGATCTCTATAACACTCTAGCATTTATCCTTTTCACCAAATGAATTAAACAGGAAAATGCAATCGTTCAATTATTATTCAATTTATTTTTAAAATCACACTTGAATATGCAACAGTAAACCTAGAAACCACAATCAGGGCCTGGCTATCAGACTTCTTGATAACTCTTCCAGCTCAACAAGCTTGCATATTATCAGAAGACTTCTACTCTGCCTCCTACAGATGCTTCACTATGTCAATAACTGTTCCCTGGAACAATTCCCCAGAACCCATGATTAATTAAAAAATAACATCTCATTATCTCAAATATCTCAAAAAGAGATGTTAAAGATTATGTGCTTGCTAAAGTTATCCAAACACACTGAGCAGATAATCAGCGCAAGACTGCAGTCTCACTCAGTATCATTTTAAACTGCAAGAGGAAATATAAAAAGTGGAACTCATGAGTAATTCCAACAAGGATAGCTTCAGAGCCACCTTTCATGAGCTGTGCTGTCACAGACCCTCAATTAACTGCTGTGTAGTTGAGAGAAGAGGGTGACCGGGGGCCACAGAGACTAAAGAAATTTCACAAACATTTTCCAAAGAAGAAATTTAAACATAAGCAGCACAGTCATTGCCTGATGGAAGCAATTGTAGCAGTGAGCAATGCAGCAATCAGAAATGGAATGTTTCATTTTGAACAAAGGGCCTTAGGAGACATTGAGTGCTTATTGCACAATTGCCAGGGAGTTAGGCTGACTCTGAATTCCCCTGTCCTTTTATACTTTCTGAGTCTGATACAGAAAAGGTGTCTAAATGTTGGTTTGTTGTATGGAACAGAAATAATTGTATTCCTTCCCGGCATTAAAAAAAAAAAAAATCACAGAAATTCACAATTTGATGTAACTTAATGGTCCCCTGGTCAAGTCTCCTATTCTACTTGTTCAAACATGATCAGCTTAAAAATCAACAATTGCTATATAAAGAACTTAATCACGTGCCTAAGTATTTTTACACTTCTGAGCGGATCAATAATCACCGACATAATTCAGTCATTTCCCCTATCTTAACAGAAAGATGGCAAAAATAAAAATTCTGTTTCTGCTCACTTATTTTAATCACAGATGGACGGAAGTAATTGATATAAATCCCTGTTGAATGTCCTCAGTTCTAGCATGAACCAACTCTTGCAGAGATTATTAACATCTTTCATGAGGTGAAGAGCACACATTCCCATCATGTTAAAGGGCTTTCAAATTACTTTATGTTAAGTGTTTCTAGTCTCAATTTTTAGTGCTTCACATTCTTGCGGTTCTTTCACTTATATCATTTAAGTACACCTACATGAAAAATGAATTTCTTTTGACAGCCAAATTAAGTTTTAGATGCAGTACAAAATTCAAACACCCAAACATTTAGCCTATACTCAATAATGGATACTTTGAATTTCTGATTTAACTTGAGCCCTCAAATGCTACCAGGGTATTGATGTAACCCGGAGTACACTTGATTGTACTAACCATCTCCTCTAATTTCATACTTTATTTAATACATATTCGAATCGGATAATCTCTTAAATATTAATATGTAATGTCACCTTATCTTCTGGATATCAAATTAGGACACGTTATCCGATTATGATTAAATACATGGTCTCATAGAGCAGAAAATGCAAGATGTACAGGCCCATTAGCCTAGTCTAGGTTGTAGATGTCTAGTCTACGTGAAACTAATCACTTTGAATTAAAAAATAGCTGGATACCTCTCTCTGAATTTTTCGACTTTTCTGAGGTGTTTAGATCCTATAGCCAACATGATCAGTCATAGGCATGTTAGCTAAAAGTCTTCCATTGCTTTCTCAGCTAACGTAAACTGAAGTCAATTTTAACAGCAGCAGAGAAAGCATCTTTAATAAGACACAAACATTTCATATAAAAGTCACCTTTCTTTTGAGGTCCAAAATGCTATTCGGTAGGTTATGTTGTAATAATAATAGTAGGCTTGGGACTTCCCCGGTGGTCCAGTGGTAAGGAATCTGCCTGCCAATGAAGGGGACACGGGTTCGATCCCTGGTTGGGGAACTAAGATCCCACATGCCGTGGGGCAACTAAGCCCGTGTGCCACAACTATTGAGCTCACGCACCTCAACGAGAGAGAGAAAACCTGCATGCCACAACTAGAGAGAAACCCGAGCACGGCAACGAAGAGACCGCCCCATAATGAAAAGATCCTGCATGCCTCAACAAAGATCCCATGGGCCGCAACCAAAAAAAGAAAGAAAGAGAAAAAAATAGTAGGCTTAAGCCTAAAGTTAGTCCCGGGAAGAATAAAAATTGAACCGAGAGGTTTTTCAGGAAAACACTCCATTGGTATGTGCGTGGGGGAGGGCTGGAGGAAGTAAGACAGCTGAACAGAATGAAAGGTGTTCCATTTACCTGTATTCCCTCTATCCAGAGTCTTCTTAGGTATGGTGACATTTTAAACTTTATTCCTACCTTCCAAAGGAGCGTACACAGCCCAGCTGATTCAAAACAGATGTCACCAATAATCAAAGGGAAACAATGGTTGTACAGGTCTGTGTCTCCTAAGAAACACTTAAGGAGTAAGAATTTCCCACTGTGGCCCTTGTGAGCCTTTATTGCCCACAGCTACGTCTCCCCTACACCCTCTTACACATGACTTTGTTCTCTAAATGTTCCTCTCTAACCCTCTTGACAAAAATCAAGACTGTCCAAATAATAACTGCTAATTCTCAAGAACAATTCCTCCATACCCGAAACTAGCTGAACTTTGATAGACATCTCTCTTCCTCAAAGACCATCAAAATGCCCAACTTACACGCACCTTTAGAGACTTCCCAAGCCCTGCTCTCTTGAATAAAGGATTAGGCTAATAATCTGGTTGATTTCCTTCAATTCCTGTAGGATGGTATGCAACTGGAAAAAGCCTGCAACATATTCATGTCTTATTTTAAATATATTCCTGCTTTTTTTTTTTCCTTTGGCCCACCTTTTAATTCAAAATGTTCCCCTATAGTTTTAAAATTAAAAAATACTTCTTTGGCATATTAATCAAGTATATGTTTCCTTATATTAGAACATATCTGATCTTCCTAACTAGAATCTACTAAACTCACCTCTTCAGGCTCAATCAATTTAAATTCCATGCCTCTCCCAGTCCAGGCAATGAAATGGGAATTTGAAGGGTCATCCAGAAGAGCTACCAAAAACTGCCAGAGCTGAAGTGATCCCCGCCGCTGGTACGTGGGTCCTTCCCGATACATTCCTGGCTCTTGTTTTATATCTCCTAAATTAAAACATTTTAAGTTTCTATGATTAGCAATGATATTTACATAAAATTTTTATTAAACCAATCACTAAAATGGTTACACCACAACCAATTTAAGGGTTTCTATGAAATATACTGTTACCACTAAATAGGGATTTAAAATAAGTAAAAGGGTGAATATACCCCAGGAACCTACAAATTTACACACAACTGTATATATAAAGGTCACTATAAATGCACAAAGGCCGGAATAAATCCATGGATGTCATTTACTCATAAAAATGCTGTATAACTCTTTTTTCTTTAGATACTATTTTAAAAACTATAGTATCCGATCATACTTCTTTCCTTCATTGTTAATGCCATTACTTACTGCTTTAAGTAACAATGCAGAGGGAGTAATCAATTTTAAGCTCTGTGCATTTTATTTGCACAAATTAAATTTTGCAATTTGTAAATACCTCATTGACCTGCACAGGACAAACGAGTGAAAATTTTAATGCAAATACCTCAAAGCAAAGTTAATAGCATCTTAGACTCTGTGAGTTAAGTAAAAACTAGGACAATGTCATGGGTAATTCAGGGCATACTGGATTACTGGTATACCATCTTTCTTCCACACCTTCACTGGCACTCTGCTTTCTCAACTGGCAGCAAATGAAAATTCTCTCATTTTTCCTTGTCTCTTGTTTGTATTGCACTTATTTCAGTTTAGCTTGCTATTCTTTTTCTAAAAGTCCAATTTTATGATGTTTATACACACACAAAAAAGAATACACCAGAGTTTTCTGTTATCTATATTTTTAAACAAGAAAGGTTTGTTTGTGCTACATTTATTTGTTGTTCATACAAAGTGTAAAAAACTCTATTAAATAGATTACAGCAGCAAAGGTGTTAGTTTCCAATTCTTTGGAATATATGGCCAGATATTTTGATTTTACCAAAAAACAAACAAACCAGAAAAAAGCCCACAACTCAGTTTCATGACTACTGATTATTTACTTCTATCTCCAGCAAACTGTCTCAAAAATATGTGGAATTAGTCACATTGGGGATTGAATGTCTAGGGCCCTACAAGCATATCACTATTAATGCATGAATTTCTCTCCTTCACTAAAGAAACAATTCAGACAGAATATATTCGAGCCGATCTTCTGACATTAAGTGTGAACTATAAACCAGACCAAATCACGAGCTTTTTAAAAATTTCCTTTGGTCAAGAGACAGAAATATACCTCTTAAAATAATTACAGAAAGAACACTTTAAAAACCTAAACCAGGGCTTCCCTGGTGGCGCAGTGGTTGAGAGTCCGCCTGCCAATGCAGGGGACAGGGGTTCATGCCCCGGTCCGGGAGGATCCCACATGCCGCGGAGCGGCTGGGCCCGTGAGCCACGGCCGCTGAGCCTGCGCGTCCGGAGCCTGCGCTCCGCAACGGGAGAGGCCACAACAGTGAGAGGCCTGCGTACCGCAAAAAAAAAAAAAAAAAAAACCTAAACCAAAATAAAATTATTCACTCAACAGCTGCTAAAAATTATTATGTTGTTTTGGTCTAAGCTATAAAATATAGAAGTGTCTCTTCATACTGATTTCAATGACAGGTTTATTTATCTCAGTTTTTCCTTCTGAGATTTAGAAATTTTCACGGGGGTAACTGAGCAATTATGCAGATAGAGTGAAACACTGTCAGATTCAGATTTTCTAACCTTTAGATTGCTTCTGCCTATAAATGTGACTGATCATACTGGCCTTGTACAATGAAAAAATAACCCTTTGTTCTTCTTTCTTCTTGTTCTCTATTCCTTATAAAATGTAAGCCCAATACTATCTTCCCAAAAATATTTTCTTAGTATAAAATTGAGGAGTATTTAAAAGCCAAAGGGAAAAAATAATCAAGACAGTTAGCTTCCCCAAACATGTAAGTGACTTAGACTTTGCCCTGTTAGATTATATCATAATCCTGTCTACAGTTTTGAGCTATTTTCCTTCCTTACATGCCCATACTAATTATTGCAATTTCTTAAAATGTTAAGCTCACTAAGCATGAAAGAAACTGATGAAGGTCATGCCAAAAAGTAGACTTCATGCTTTATCTCAAGAGAAAAAGCTGGATTTTAAGGATTTTGATGCTCTGCGAATGATGCTAAAGAAAATAACACAGATCACACCTCTGAAACTCAAAGGTTAAAAGTAACACCTATTATAGAGTAAGGCTGAAAAAGTGATCCCTATTGGAGTTTAACCCTGTGACCTTGGCAAGAATTTAGCAATGTAAAGGGAGACTAAGGAAACAGATCTTCCCAAGACTTATATCACCCCTTCTGAAACGTCTACGTGTAGAGAAAGCCTGGGGAACACAGTAGACTTCAAGCAACTAATTAGAGACTGAGAAGCAATCTGCACATACACTATGCTGTTTAAATAATGACAATTAAAAACTCCTGAGAGCTACCAGGCCATTACAGCCATGATCCCCAAAGTTTGTGCAATCAGCTAATCAGAGGGCCCCTGCTTGTTTCCTGTTAAACAATCAAAGCAGGAAATATGGAGACCACTCTGAAGAACCACTAAGTCAATCAACTGTTCACTTTTTACCCAAGCCTCTGTGTAGATGCTGACTGCTGCCACGTTTGTCAAGAAAAGAAGATTCTAACTTGACACCCCTTTCTAACGTGTGTGTGTGTGGGGGGTGATATTTTCACTTTCATTGCCACAGCAAGTGATGTTAAAAGAGTGATGCAGGGCTCCCCTGGTGGCGCAGTGGTTGAGAGTCTGCCTGCCGATGCAGGGGACACGGGTTCGGGCCCCGG